GGCAGGACTAAAGACGTATACGGCTGGACGTAAAGACGTATACGTACGTAGGCGGAACTACGTCACTAGCCAAGCCCACTTTTGGGCATGGCTAGGGGCGTTACGGGGGAAGGCATAAAAGACAGCGCACAGGAAGTCTCGCTCTCTTTTCCTGGAGTTCGGCTTCCGGTCCAGTCGCTAGCTGAGATCTGCTGGGCTTCTCGGGGTTTGGTATCTTGTGAGTAATTTTCTATATAAAATACTTAGCCTTATTTTCAGTAATTGTGTGTCGCGTATCGTTACAGCGTCCGTAAAGCCAACAAGAGTGGGTGAAGGAGGAGGCAGGAAGAGCCTCCAGCACTAGCCCTGCCATTACTGCATTCGTGGAGTCCACCGAACACATAGAATTCTAACAGACAGGAGACGTGATGGGGGACCCTGACGGTCAGGCTCAGCAGAGGACAGTAACCCAGTGACACAGAACACACATGGGTTACAGACTTAACTCCATAGGACCCTCTTCACCAAAGACGGCCTAGAGTGAAGAGGACAAGGGAAATCAAGGAGATGAGATCAAGGTCAGCAGCCACCTCATTGTAACTGTCCCTGCAAATTTATTTACTAACACAGATGCCCAGAGAACCCAACAACACAGCAAGATGCCACACAGACAAAAGCAGCTGATCTCCCAACGGAGAAATTGTCTGCTCCCAAGGCTGAGCAAGAGAGGATTAAGTGGATGGCTTACCATTTCTACCAACATCCAGTTTAGTCATCCAACAAGAACAAAGGAATATAAAATTCTAGCAATAAGAAACAAATGAAGGGGGTTGGAGAGACGGCCCAGCAGTTACATGTGTATTGTTCTTGCAGAGAACCAGAGTTTGGTTCCCAGCACCCACTTGGCAGTTCATAGCCACCTGCTAACTCCAGCTTCAGGGCCTCCAACAGTCTCTTTTGACCTCCAAGGGGCAACTGCACTCATGTGCACAAACCTCCACACAGATATATGCATATACATAATGAAATATTAAAAAATTATTTTTTAAAAGAAATGAATGGGAGACCAGGGCTATGGACCCAATGCTTTCTCTCTGCCCCCTGACCACACACACTAGAGCTCTCTGAGCTGCCTATGTAGCATGAGCACTTTAGTAGATTTACCTTTTGGTAATGATAATCACTGTCTTTAAAAAGCCTGGGTTTTCTCAATGCATCTTTAAATGTTTTTAAAATGCTTCATATCTAGTCAAGTTGAAGTTTTTAAGAACTTGATTTTTAATTTAAATAAAAGTTTATGTTCTAGTTCGCTTTCTGTTGCTGTAATAAGCATCACAACCCAAAAATAACTTGGGAAGGAAAGTATTTGGCTTATAACTCACAAAACAGGGGATAACAGAGAGAGGCTAGGGCAGGAGCAGAAGCCATGGAGGTGCTGCTTACTGGCTTGCTCCCCATGGCTTGCTCAGTCTGCTTTCTTACAGAACCCAGGACACCTGCCCGGAGATGGCATTGTCACTTAGTGCTCTGGGCCCTCCCGCATCAATCATTAATCAAGAAAATGCCCTATAGACTTGGCTACAGGCCAATCTTATGGAAGCATTTTCTCAGTTAAAATTCTCTCTTCCTAGATTATCTCTAGCTCGTGTCAAGCTAACAAAAACAACCAACCAAGACATTGCCTACATTACAAATTCAACATCCCTAACATCAACCACAAATACTTCAAAATCTGAACTTTTTTGAGCAGGCACCTGTAGTTCGTTTTTTTATTCTTTGGGGCCCCCCCACCCAGCTCCCAAATAAATACACAGAGACTTATTTTTACTTATGAATGCCTGGCTTCATCTTGGTTTGTTTCTTGCCAGCTTTTCTAAGCTAAACTACATTTTGCCTCTGGGCTTTCTACCCTTTTATTCTGTATGTCTACCTTTCCTTCTTACTCTGTGGCTTGCTGTGTGACTGGGTGGCTGGGTCTGGCAACCTCCACTCCTTTTCTCACTCTTCCTCGTCTTTTCTTGAGCCCAGATTTCTCCTCCTATTCTCTCTGCCTGCCTATTTCTCTCTCCTACCTAGCTACTGGCAAGCAGGAGTTTTAGGCAAGCAAAGTAACACATCTTTGCATCATTAAACAAATATTCCACAGCATAAGCAAATGTAGCACATCTTAAACTAATATTCCACAACAGGTACCACAATGGTGAACCCACACTGACCCCATGTCACAGACTGAAGTCAGAAAGTAGGCACACTAAAAACACTGTACAGAAATTACCTTTGAGATGTACACAAAGGGCACATATAACAAAATGATGAAGCATTCATAAATTTCATGTCTAGACTTGGGGCTCATCTCATTACATATATGTGAATGTATCAAAATACAAGCCCTCACTCCCACCCCCAGCACATGCACACCGACACAAATTGAATAGATGGTTTTTAAAAATGCTCTATAGAAAGACTACATAATGGGATTGGGAGTATGGCTCAGGGATAGAATACCTGCCTTGAGTTATGGGCCTGGCTTTAATTTACAGCACCTCAAAAATATGCATACTTAAACTTTTCCACAAGAAAGCATACTGTCACTGTCATTCTTCCTGGTGATTATCTGAGAGTCTTTACTGTCCAGAGCCACTAAACATGAGGCTCAGGTGACTGGTTCTGGCATGCCAAAGGCGAGATTTTCTGAAGCCATCTCCTCTCTCCTACACTGAGAATGAAAAACCCTCAGGACACCTGTGCTGAGCCTGGCTAGCCCACTGCTCTCCCAGCCTGTCCTTGCCAATGAAGAGGCAGGCTTCCACATACATCTCTCCCGCCATCTGCCACCACCTACAGGACATGGCATCCCATTAGCAGGCCTCTTCAGTGCAAAGTTTATTTTGAAAGTTTTTTTGAGACTATTAACTCCTCTTTAATTTTTCGCCCTTATCTCACATCTGCTCTTCTGAAAAAGGAACACTTTCATAGAGAAAACAATACTGTTTCAATCTTTATGAAAACGCCACCTGTTCCCACAGCTTTCCAGCATGACAAAGATGCAAATTCACCCAGAAGCTTGTGGTTTCTGGTTACCTAAAACGAATGTAGTCCCCAGCCAGCTCCTCAACACTATGGACACAGCGATGGAGGTTTTAAATGTGAGGCAGGAAAGCACTACAGATGGAGGCAAGTTTCTGTTGAGCTGGGACATCCACAGAGGAAAGACCATGGCTGAAGAGTCCCATACACCACTGAAAATGGCCCCAAAGAGAGGCACAGCTCAAACCAAGTGCTGGGATCACATGCAGCCACACAGCCTTCCAGTCAGTGCCCAGCTCCAACACAATAAAGCAGCCTCAATTCCCTGTACTCAGAACTCCTGATGCTCGACAGTCATCAGAGATGTGAAACCAGGGATGCTGGCTACTTTTCCAGTCCCGCCAACACCACACCACAAACCACCACAGTCCACCCCAGCCCTATCTAACCATTAATGGATTGTGTATGATCGTTATAATTCAGAACAAAATGAAGGCTTCCAGATCAGCCTCAGTAAGCAACAGTAAGTTACAGTGTTCTGATGGTGCCTACACACAGGGAGATGCAGGAAAAACATTTGAGCATTTACTAAGGGTTTTACGGTATTAGTAAAGCGGTTGAGGCCTGGAAAGCTGAGACTCAAGAAGCAAAGCTAAGAGGCACCATATGGGCAGCCAGTGGGAGCAAGCCCAAGTGGGAGCTGGAGAACCACGAGATTCTGTTGTGGCCTGGTCTCGCCTGACTCCAGCTGGTCAAAGCCAGCCCCTGGTACAAACGCAGGGTTGACCACGGCACTCACATCAAAGTGCCATTGTGGCTATGTTACAAAGCGAAAGGTTGTGTCTGTGTCCCGAAATATTTACCAGTGACAATCCCTGGGATGGATGCAGGAGAGATCAAGAGGAAGGGGAAACAAGGCTGGCAAAACAGTGGAAATTGTAGTTTTGTACATGTTTGAATGTTTTCATATAAAACTGTTTTCAAGTTATTATCAGTCAGTTTTAAGAAAGGTGCTTAAGTAAGAATGGAACCTAGAGACTGTGAGAGGCTCTCTTCCAGCCTGGTATCCTGCCTTGCCTTGAGTGACATAAAGAAAACTGAAAAGTACACCCACAAATCTGAGATGATGGCCACCTTTTGCCAATGACGGTCACTATACACAAAGGACAGCTGCAGCTTAAATGAACTAATTCAGGAAAGCATAGAACTGATAAATGTTACAGCTGACCTCCACGACAAAGTCATCGAAACAGCTTCCAAGGACTGTGAACTGGCTGGCCCCGGCTGCCACCTAAACAACTCGGCCTGGAGTAGAAAAACTAATATAGCTTACTAAAAATCTAACATTCATATAAAAACCCATTGAACTTTAAGGGAAAAGTAGGCCAATAAAAGGTAAAGCTATTGAGCTACAAAAGGAGCGTTCAGAAACAAGAGCAGAGACATAAGTATGGTGGCACATAGCTATAATCCCAGCTCTGCAGAGGTCTTGGGGGAGGGGACTTATTTCAGGGCTAGCCTGGGCTACACACTGAGAAACACAGTGAAGTAAACAAGAGCCACCTGAGGACTTTGGATAAGGAGCTGAAGACTGTTAGGAAGAATCTGTATCTGGTTCTTGCCTGAGGAAACCAAGAATAGTTCTTCAAGGGATCAGTATTGTGGGCTGCCTGTTCCCAACAGTGGGTCGGAAACCTACAGTTGCCCTGACTACAGGATGCACCCTACAGAAACATCCAATGAACACGCTGTGGAAATTCCACTATTTGCTGCTTTTAAGAATGGCGATTCCCATTTACTCTGTATCTTGTACTTAAGAGAACATGCTCAGGTACTGCACTATGTTTCTTGAACTTCTCTGTGCAAATTTAAACTCATCCAGTCAACAAGAAGGGGCACAGGAAGAGAGACCTATTTACAACTTCAAAAAGCCCTGTAAACTTTCACCTCTTCTGGTCTCTGGGGTGTAACGGGAGGGAGGAGGGGGCACTCACAGGTGGCTCCTCGTTCAGTGTCTGCAGCATCCAGTTTTCCAGTGTTTCGAAGTCTCTAGGACCCTGGTACTTCACCGCTTCTTGGCCAGGCTTAAAAAACTTCAGGCTGAAAGAACAAGAGCAGATTAGGAAGAGCAGAAGTTTAAAAGCTACTCTGGGTCGACAGCAAACCCATGCAGTGAAACAGCTTCCAGGGATGGCAGCCACGTACCTAGCTGCCACTTAGAAAATGCTTCAAAGGGAAACAAAAACGGTGCTGCAGGAGGCAGTATGTCCCTATAGTCTAAACTTTCACACATTTCTGATGTTGCTCAAGGAAAATACAATTGGGCTGAAAACTTCCGGATGCATGCTGTGAGTTACACCTGCCTTCAGTATTTCTCCCAGGGTTGGTTCTCCTTGTTGGTATCCCTTACTTCATGGCCTCTGACCTCTGGTCTACCTTGTTCCTCCTGATGCCTGTGGGCCTCACTTAGGCTCACAGCAGACAAAACCCTCTTCTGCAGTAGGTATCTGCAGACCAACAAGGCATGTGGATACCGGGTCACTGGTGGATCCCCGTCATCAGGGCACTCTAGCTGCTGCAGTCCATCTGCTCACTCTCCCCTCCATCTACTCCCATCCCCACACCCCTGCCTGCATCCCTGTGGAGAAAGAATCTTGTCTACTAACTGGCCTCGGAGGAATCTGCAGAGATGAGGAACAGTTCCTCTGAGGGTGAGCAAAAGACATCACCAGAGGATGAACTTCACACCGGTGATCTTGGTGCCTTAGAAAAAACTTCACAGAAGCTGTCAAGACTGTATTATACATGTGGCTCCTGTCAGAAGAAAGGTGATGAGGGCCCAACAGGCACGGGCTTGGTAGTAAAAGTGTTTACCTAGGAGCCCTCTAACACCTCCCAGAAATGATTTGGATTATGGGAAGTGATACAGATGTTTAAGTTAGGATGTGCACACTCAGAATGTTGGTGGAGTGTCACAGGCAGTGTGTGCTGCAGTGACACAATATGACTGGCCTGGCAGCCCATAAAGTATAAAAATTCATTTCCTATAGTTCTGGAGACAAAAATCCAAATTCCCAGTGTCATACGTCCAAGGTCTACAGTGGCTTTCTGGTTCCCTGAGGGCACCCTCTCCTTGTGTCCGCATGTACAGGAAAGCCGAGAGAGAGCTCTCTGGAGCCCCCTTAATAATGTCCACCTCCTACACAAACACACTGGGGGTTAGAATGTCAGTCAGCATGTTTCCAAGACACATTCGGACCATTAGCAAACAGGTAGGTTCCCTTTAAATGAAGCTTTGAAACAGAAGTCTTAAAATGAAGTTCCATAGCTATACAAGGAAACAAACGACATGGTGGAGTTCTCCAAAGGCTGAGGTGGGAGGATGGCACATCAGAGGCTAACCCAGGATCCACAGTGAAACCTGGTCTTGAAAACACCTGAGGATGCGGCTCAGCACACACAAGACACTAGGCTCCATCTCCAACATCTCAAAAGAAAGGGGGACAGCACACTGGCTACATTCGGCAGTCAGAAGGGCAGACTGACTTTATGGAGGACATGAGCAGATGCCAGTGTCGTCAGGCGCATGGAGACACACGATCCTCAACTTACAGCAGGTGTACCTCCTCACAAGAGCCTCAGGAGGGTAAAGTTACCTGACACCAGAACAGTGTTCAATGTCTCCTGTAACTCACTGTGCTGAAGGCTGCATGAGGCTGCTTCTGCCTCATCATGAAGGTGAAGGATCTCCAGTCAACCTATCATTAAGTCTGGGACCATCTACACAAGGAAAAGCTAAAGTCTAAGTAGATTTAGTCACTATACTGTACCTCCAATGAAGAACATATGAAAGCTAGGCACAGAGGCACACACTCAATATCCAAAGTGTGAGATTCCTCTTTAAGTTGAAAGGGCCCAGGGAGAGCAGGAAAGCTGTTACAGACCCTCCCCCATCAGCCTGCAGCCCTAATCCTCAGTTGACAGAGGTGAAGGAGGTGGCAGATGGAGTGAAGTGGCAGATGGGGCTGGCCCCAAGTTCAGCCCCCAAGTTTGTATCACAAACTTTCCATGGATATGTGTGTCTCCTGGTGATCTGTATCTCTTCCTGGGAAGCTATAGAGGAGAAAACCCCCACTTGGGTGTCACTCTGCATAGACTATGACAAAGAATACCACAACTGATAAGCTAGGGGTCTGATTGTGACCTCCAAAAGAGAGCTATTAAAAGCCTAATCCAACCTAAGGATGTGGCCTCACTCAGAATCAGACCTTCACAGAGGTCAATGTGACTTGTAATCTCACAAGAAAGGGAAATTTAAGCACACAGATATATGCCCGTGTGTGCGTGCCCGTGTGTGCGCGTGCCTGTGTGTGTGTGTGAGTGTGTGTGTGTATTGAAAACAGAAGCCTTAAAATGAAGTTCCGTGGATATACGAGGAAACCAAGCTACATGGTGGAGTTTTCCAAAGACTGAGGTAGGAGGATGGCACATCTGATATATATGGTCCAAAGATGTAAAGAGTTGATGCTGATGCAGTTTGGATCTGAAAAGCTCATCCATTACAGTCTTGGTTTCCTCTGTGGGGCTGCTGGGAGATGATGGGACTTTAAAAAAGTAGACCTAGTGGGAGATCTCAGGTCACTGTGGGGGTATACTCTTGACTTCTTGACTACTAGACTGAGACCCCAGGTTTCCCACCCCTCCTTTCTCTCTCTGCCTCTTGACTGACAGTAAGTGCTCTATCATACCATTATGACTATATGCCACACTACTGCAAGCCCCAAAGCAACAGGGCCAGTTGACCATGGACCAAAACTTCCCATCAAGCAACAGGGACAACTGACCATGGACTAAAAGTTCTAATCAAGAAACAGGACAATTGTCCATGGACTAAAACTTCCAAAACTGTCAATCTTTTGAGAGGGAGGGAATTGAGACAAAGTGTCACTCTGGTTCAAGTTGGCCAGGAACTTACTAGTAACCTTTCCTCTAAGTATCTTGACTATTTTGTTAGAGTAACAAAAAGCAAACCCCTGAGAAGCCAGAAAGCAGCATACAAAAAATGGCCCAAGGAGGTTTCGGAAGGAAGTTGGCCTCCAGCCTCCAGCCTCCAGCCTCCAGCCTCCAGCCTCCAGCCTCCAGAACTGTAAGGTTCTTTCTGTTGTTTTCAGCCGCTGGAGATCAATACTGGTGCCACCCCCACTTAGTTCAGCCCCTGCTCGGCATGTCCTCCCAAACAGACACTCTATCTAAAACATTTTCCTGAACATGAGCAGCCATCTCCAGGGGCTATGAAGTCAAAGTGGCTTCCCTCTCTAACCCCATACTCCATTTAAATGTGCCAGGAGGAAACGGATGTTTTTAAAGCCTGTATTCTGACACAAACCAGAGCTCGGGCATCTACAGCCATCTTCTGATAAGGCTTTGCAACAACTGTTCGAGACAGGGCTGTTTGAAAGGAATTAAAAGCACACACAGGTATTCTTGCCTGCCTCAGTGCAACCACCTACCCAACACTCTGCCTCCTGCATTCTGTAAAGACCAAAGACAAACAAAAGCTTGTCCTTGGGCTCTTCGGCAAGCCCCTAAGCAACATGGGAACCCCTCTCAGATCACACTCACTACAGCCTGAACTTAAGTCTACTTTCTTTACACACACACACACCTTGACTCTCCAGACCTGGAAGTTGAATACAGCTTTATTCCTGTGTAAATTATCCAGTTCATAGTGCATTTATAGCAACAAAAGTGATTGAGACCCCCCTCCTTTATTTAAGAAGTCAGTTTGTTGGTCAGCTTTCTGCTGCTCTAACAAGGAGCTGGGACTTCAGCTTGGAAAGAGAAACAGTGTATTTTGATTCCCTATTTTAGATGATTAGGGCCCGGAGATGACTTGAATTTGCGGCCTTTGGTCTGTACCAAGATAGAACCTAGCAAACGTCTCCTCACAGCAGACATGAAGCAAACAAACAAACAAAACAAAACAATACAGGAAGAGGGCTGAGATCACAATATTCCCTTTCTAGGACACAATTTCAATGAACTACCACCCACACCCTGAAGATTCTATGTGTTCCCCAAAGACCAGTCTTCTGGCCAGTCTTTGTCACACGGGTTTTGGGGAGAACATTCACCGGAGTGTGGCAGCCAGTTATCATTTGGTTCATAACCCATGCATATGCCTGTCAAGGGAGTAAGTGGCTGTTTGTGAGGCTCGCTGCACTCTGCTTTGGTACCCTCCTTCCAGCAAAGACAGACCTGACGCTAGCTGCAGAGGATGTAACTTTAGGAAAGGTCTCTAATCAGCAAGAAAAAGAAGCACTGTAGCAGTGGTAACCGTTCAAACCAAAGTGCTAACGAAGTCTGAGCGGGCTGTGTGAAACGTGCTTGAAACATCAACTGGGCTGGATTTCAGGCAGCCAGACCCCCACCGCTGCCCAGCAAATGCTCACTTTCTCATTAATTGGAAAAGCCAACATAGTGTAATTAAGGCTTTCCCATGCATAGTACAAAAGGTGTCTACAATACAGTGTTCAATATAACCTTGTCCTAGTAGCAGGCCGGGACCACCTGCTTACATCCAGTGCCTCAGATCTATGACACAGACAGCAGATGCACCACTGTGCGGAGCCCAGCACAAAGATGCATACATTCTCTTTGCTACTTACGTGGGGTATCCTCGCACACCCTGGGCAGAGCACACATCGGAGTTGGCTGTGCAGTCCACTTTAGCCACATAGACCTTGGCATCCTCCATGCTGTTGTACTTGTCTCCCAGGTCATTCCAAGTTGGCTGCAGTCGCTGGCAGTGTCCACACCTAAAGTCAGAGAAGAGCACATTGAGGTCCAGGTCCCAGGGTAGCCAGATTACCACCTCAACCTTCTTCACCAAGCAGTCAACTCTCCACCCTTGCTTTTCCCAAACTGCAACAGACGGATAGCTCGCAATGGCATCATTCTCCATGTTAATCAAAATTCTGCAGGCTACTGTCCTGGCATTCTTTTTTGACCTCTATGTCCAGACCCTACCTCCTTGACTTCCAGCTGGTGTACGGGTTCAACTGCAGTATTTCAGTTTCCTGGCAACCGTAACCTTGCTGTGCCCCTGGGGCTCAGGGTACACACTCTAAAGAATCTCCCTAAACCCCAGCTGGGTGAGTTGTTTGCCCTTCAGGGTTAGCTTGTGCATCACCTCCTCCAGGAGGTCTTCCTTGGCTCCCAGGCTATTTGGCATCCACCCTCTTCTCTTCCTCCCTTTCTAAAAGTCTCCCCACTCTCCCAACCAGCTTAGCACTCTGCTGCAACTGCTCCATTATTTATAAGGACAGGTCTCTTCGACTGCACAACCAAATGTACACAAATGCAAGGAGATCTCAAGATTAATTAACTCTGCCTCTGCACCTTCTCCAATCAGAAGCCTTAAAATAAATATATTTAAATTGTTAAAAATGTATTTAGACAGGTCTTGGGTATCTAAGGCTGGCTTTGAGCCTACTATGTAGCTAAAGATAACCTTGAACTTCTGCCTTTCTTACCTTCACCTTCCAAGCGCTGGGATAAGTGTGCACGACCACCCTCAGCCTAATGAGGCGCTGGAGCTCAAACCAGGGCTTTGTGCATGCTACGTAAGCTATATCTCTAGACCTTCAAACTAAGGCTGGTAGATAGACTCAAACATCTGGTATTGACTGCGTGAGTTTAGTTATACACACATATTTTAGAACACCCATCATTCAATACTCCCAGCAAGGACGTGGCTTCTTGCCTCTCTTCACATTGCACAGCATCAGGATCTCTCTTGTCACAGGACATGAAGGGCAGTGCTGACCTGATGACCATCATCTTGCATTCTCATCTGTATGCTGTACCACAACTGAGTTTTGAATGAGTGCAACCACACAGCATTGAGGCACTTTTTTCTTTCTAATCTAATAAACAGGTGATCTGTGTGTATACCATAACTACTTGCTGTATTGCCTTCTGAAAAGATCCTTTAGAAAAATGCTTACTTACAAGATTGACGGGAACCGATAATTGATATTGACTCAATAATGTCTCAAAATCTGTGGCATGTCTTTTTTTTTATAGAAGACCTGACCTGCAAACCAGACATCTAAACGTAGTCCCAGAAAGTTGGCTTCAAGCTAGGACTTCCTTGGGCAGCTAAGACAAAGCCCTGCTTTCTAAAGGCCTAAATCAAATAGAACCAGAGAGAGTTCAGTAGCTAAGAGCACTGGTTGCTCTTTCAGAGGACCCATTACCCACAGCAAGCAGGTCCCAACTGCCTGTAGCTCTGGTTCCATGGAATCTGACTTCTTTGGGCCTCCTTGGGGACACACGCATGGCACACAAACCCATAGAGATATACACATGCACATAAATAAAAATAAAATGTAGAAACAAATAAAAGCCCAAAATACAGCACCATTCCCTTTTTCTGGAAGATTGTCAGTATTCTTTTTATGTATTCAGGGTAAGTGCCAAGAAAGTCAGCACAGTCCTGCCCAAATACTCAGTGTGCACTAAGTGGCTGGCAACTTAAACAGAATGAATGAATGGGGTGAAAATCCACACAGTGAAACTCTTTCAGGATTTGACTTCTGTGAATTCAGCAAAGTCAGTTTAGCAAGGTGGTGGATTGCGGAAGGAGAGCAAGCAAAGGGAAAAAAAGGACTCCTCAAGTGTGTACACAGTGGGGCACGCAGAGTTCCTCTTCCCCAGCTGGCCCAGCTGGTGCTTAATCAAAGAAAACAGGATTGGTTCTAAAGCTGGAGCAGAACCCGGTTATGAGATGTTGCTGGGTGTCTGAAGGGTGACTGCCTTCAGGTGGCCGCCACGAGGGATTTTTTCAAGGGCAGTTCTGTTAGATGAATCTGATCTTGTTTTAGAACTGGATGTATCCTCTGCATCGTTGAAAAGGTTCTTATGACAACACAAGGTTTAAAATGAGGATAGAGATTTAGTTCTCTACACCCCAAATTAAACTGACCATCTGGGGCCATCACCGAGCAGGCATGCCCCTCTGCACCCAGGAGCATCGATGAATCCATTGGTTCTATCTAGCTGGCATTTCTGTTTTGGAGCCCTTGTGGTTACAGCACTATTGAGACAGCCAGCTGCATTTAGAAGGTGGCCTGGGGCCAAGGAACAGCAAAGGCACCTAACCTTAATCTTGACCTTACTGTCCCTGGGTTCAGTGTGACCCACAAACTGGCACTACAGGCACTGTGATCTGAGGCTGGCACAAAATCAACAGCAGGACAATCCTGCAGTCACCAAGCTTAGAACAAATAGACACAGGTCAGTGTTTTCATTACACGGTGTCCTTGCCCCCAACAGCCACGTAGGCATCTAACATTCTAGGCACTCAAACTAAGAAGTGAAGACGGGACCCAGTGTATTCCATCTTGAACTTCTTATTGTTCTTAAGTCTTATTTTGAAATCTTAGCACTCCATAGGCTGAGACAAAAAGATCATGAGTTCAAGGACAACTCAGCTACACAGAGAGGTCCTGCCTCAATTTCCCTTCAAAACAACAAAAATCTAGCTTTCAAAGGCCATGATGGGCACCTACATATCTCTAATATTTCTAGCAGAGTAGTAAGAGGCAAACAACTAAAGGCTCACTTAGGGAGCAGCATTTACCCGAATACAGTGAAAAAGAATTTGTGTGGTACCTATTACCCTGACTGGCAAAGACTAGCTGGTTATTTACTGGAAATATCCCACAATTAGAACTCCATCAGCACTGCAGACACCCCATCTCTATCTGCATGTCAATTTCCTTATAAAACTAAAAACCCATAGGTTTATTCCAGTGTGTCCTGTGGTGTGCTTAATTGGAGTCACTACACTGAGAATACTCGTGCAAAGTAACTATTAACACTCACAGGCTGTTGCAGGCTAGCAGAGCTTTCTTTCATTGGTGGTGCTACAGATCCAAAACAGGTGTTCTCAGAATGTGAAACAATGTATTCTATTTGCACATTCTTAATAGATACTGGCTGTGAGCCAGACTGACCCTTAAAAGCTAATGCAACCCTAAATGACTCGAAATGCAGGAACAACTCACTATAAAGGAAAGTTTCTCCCATTATGGAAGGCGCAATCACTGAATAAGTTGGATTCCACAGATACATTGTTCTTAACCATTTAACCCCCTTTCCTTAACGAGTCCCTACCAAGCCAGGGAAAGACTACTTAGCTCAGCAATAAACACAGCTGGCACATCCCCACATCTCCAGCGGCCTGCGCTCTAAACGCTGCTTTCTGTTCTGGACCAGAGAGAACTTCCTTCTCCGAGCATCTAGGCCCCAGTAGGAAAGCACTGGCTAGAACAATTCCTGAGGTACAGCTATCTTGAGAAGCAGCGGGTGCACTATGAAGCCCCAACCGGAGAATGGACTCTTGAAGGTGTATGACTTTAAAAAAACTGTTCCGCCTCGCACCTTCCAACTGGCCAAATGAGCACAGAATAGAGGAGGTGCCAGAAGACAGCCTTGAGTTAAAGGCCTTGAGAATACAGCTCATATCCACTCCAGTGTGCAGCGGGGACTCCACAATCGGCACTACTCCGGGATCCCAGGGGTCAAGGAACCCCCACTCCTCTACCTAGGCTATCTCTCCCCACCCTCAACACACAGAGGGGGAAATCACATTTCGGGAGGGCCTTAGATTTTTCAATCCAACCTACTACTGAAGCGCCAGCGGGGAGGACCCTCCAGGCTAGGGCACGTGGTCGCCGGGCTCTGGCCGCGTCCGGCCAGCACAGGAAGTTTGGGGAGCTGGGCAGAGGACTTGTGTGTGTGCATGTGAATGTGTGTGTGTAGGTGGGGGTGGTGGTGTCTGGGATCCAGCATCGTGGCGGAGCGGAGAGGCCTTTCCGGGTCTCCCCTCGGGGCCCGCCCTTCCTCGCGCTTGGCCCGGCGGCTAGCGCCACGTCAGCGGCGAGGCCCGAGCTCGGCGGCCCACGCCCCCCGCACAACCGGCGTCCTCCCCTGACCCCCGGTCCGGGCCCCCGCCGGCCGGCCTGCCGGAGCTGCAGTTACCAGGGTGCGAAGAACATGACGAAGTGCGCGGCGCTTTGGATCCCGTGCGTGAACATGTCGGCCGTGTACAGGTGCTTGGCGTGCGGGTCCTGCTCGGCTCCGCCGTCCGCCACCGCCTCCTGGGCCCGGGCACCCCTGCGCGAGCCGAGAAGCAGTAGGAGCGCGGCCAGGGCCGGCAGCCCGGCCAGCGGCGGGAGGAGGCGTCCTGGTCGCGGGGGCATCGCGGCGGGGCTGGCGAGCTCTCGCCCGGGCCGCGGGTCCCCTCCGCGGCGCCGCCTCCTGCCCCCGCTCCTCCCACGAGCGCACCACCACGCCCATATCCCAAAGCCCCGCCTTAACCACGCCTCCACTCGCAGAGGCACGCCCCGTGGCCTGCCAGACCTCGGAGGCAACTTGGTTAGTTCTGCTGAAAGCAGCCAGCAAGAAGTCGCTCAGATCCTGGGATCCTTCGTGCTGCACCTCCAGCGCTTTCCCAGTACGGTTCCGATCCATCTCGCCGATCTCCTCCACTTTCCCCATCCCTCCCGCAGCCTTTTCCCTTCGTTTCCCTGTTAGGAACGAAAAGGCCAAGCAGTGAAGGCACGGGGAAGTGGCAGCCTCTGTTGATCTCATCACACACCAAGACCCCTAAATTTCAGGACCAAGTTGAGCTGCTGTCAGCAGAAAGGAGGGAAATGGGCAAAACTGGGTGGGGTTTCACTTGCATGAGTCAGATCGTTAGCCTAGAGCTGAACTGTGATTTGAGGGCCTGGCCTCAGGGCATGTGACGAAACCATTTCCGAAGAGCACCTCCTCTGTTATTCGTCTCTGCCTTCACTTTGGGTGAGAAGGAAAGGGAGTCAAAGCGGCTCCTTCTTCCTGCTCTGGCTCGTGCCCTATGTGTCCTAACTCACCCTGGCTACAAAACTGAATGCCAACTACTGCTCTGGCTGAACTGACCTTGTGATGGCTGAGAGCCATTGCCTGGGCTGAGGTGTGGCAGGTGGCAATCCAAGCTCCCAGCCCTGCCTTGAGAACCTGAGCTTAAACCAGGAAGAGTGAAGCAACCAATATGCACACTTGAGAGTGTTCCCAGCGCTATGCTCTACGCAGATAAGAAGTGCACGCCGTGGTCTTTTATTGGGACCTTTCAGCAGCGTTTCCGAGAATCACCTCCTGATCCTTTACTAGTCTCATCTTCCCTAAACTAAAACCCTTAATTCCTGAGTTAGCAACAGGAAAACTGGCATCATCTGTAACTATTCTCCTTATCGTAGACCGAGCCACCTGTAAATGTTTAACCATGCTTTGCCAAACACCGAATTTCCAAACCCTGTTCTTTCAGACCTCACAGGCAGCATCTTTTGCTTGCTCCCTCTCTTCCTCTGTGTCCTCGCTCCATAAGTAAACAGGTTTCAAACAAGCACCTCTTCCCACTCTTCTGGCCTGAGCAGATATGAACTTGCCTGTGACACGAACATTCCTTTGCTCACATGAGTTTGACTATGGTAGTTTGCTGCTCAAACTTGGACAGGCATGTCATCCCTGCCCAGTGACCTTGGCATATAGACTAAAATGGAAATCCCTTGGTTTGCCGTTCAAGGCTTCCTGTGGTGTATTTCCTCCATGCCTCGAGTCTGTGAAGCTTGGTGGTGACTAAAACTCCAACTGTTCTGTCCAGTAATCTGTGATGGTCAAGCTGGAAGCTTTATGCTCCTCAATACTTCATACCCCTCCAACCCTCTCCCTGTGCAGCTGAGAAATCCCAACAAGGTCACCATTCACTCTGCTTATAGTAACAACTCCTACTCCTTTTTCATCTGCATAGATCAGTGGTTCTCAATCTGTGGGTCTCGAACCTTTCATGGTCGCATATCAAATATCCTGAACATCATATATTTACATTACAATGCATAGTAGTAGCAAAATTAGCTATGAAGTAGCAACAAAAATAATTGATGGTCACCAGAACATGAAGAGCTGTATCAAAGGGTCACAGCATTAGAAGGATGAGAACCACGGGCATAAAGCCTAGCTCTGGGAGCCCTCTCAAGCGTTCACTGCTGGTTGCTTCATGCCTGAGTCTCAGAGTTGAGAAGGAAGGCAAATGCCTTCCTTTATGGAAGTGTTCCCTTCTGTCTGCAGAACTTCAACTCCAATTATACTGATTCTACTGAGTGTGGCACCATCTGCCCTTCTAGCTTCTTCCAGGACAATCCCTTTATTTCACTGAAGACTTTGCTCCCTTCCAGCTGACAGATTTTCTAACCACTCCTTCCTGTCTTCATTCCTAGTGACTTCAGCATCTGGGTGGCTAGCACATCGACATTTTCTTCTGTCACTCCCTCATAAAAGGAAATCTAGAATGTTTACTGTTTCTAATAGCTGAGTGAAGATGCTATGGTTTGCATCTTGAATGTCCCCTATGTGGTCCATGTGTTGAAGATCCACAGTGGTGCTAGGGGAAGGTGGTGGCACTTTAAGAGGCGGCAGTGGGAGGCGTATCCCCACAGGAGATCTCAGAACCCCCACCTCTCATTGCCTGGCTCCTGAGGTGAGGAGGTGTATTCCCCATGTGGTGCTCTCTCACCACAGGCCTAAAAGCATCAAGATGATGACTCATCATTGCCCATAACCTGCAAGCCTGTGGGTCTAAATATTTTTCTCTCTGTATGTTTCAGGTTTTTATTGTAGGGGCAGAAAGCAGATTAACACGAAGGCATCCCCGTGTGATGAAAACACTCCATTCTCTTCATTTCACTGGGCTTCGCTGCAGAGTTGGCACAATCATTCCACCTGAATGAGCGACACTGGCACACCTGAGTCCACCGTCCTCTCCAGCTTCCCTGGTCTGCTTTTCTATTCCGTCTTCCTCAGGCTCCCTCTCCATGTTAGTTTCCCAGGCTCAGCCTCCAACTTGCCTTCTGTCTACCCTCACTCTCCTGGAGACCTCATTCATCCCCATAGCTGTACACACTTCCTTGGCAGACAGCACCACACAACCCATTTACAAGAAGGACTTGTCTGGCCCAGGAAGGAAAGAACTCCTGCACTGCGTACTCAGGTAGTGCCTTATCCTTCCCAGGCTCCTTACAGAACATTGGTTCCTGCTGCTATCATTTCTTTGTGTGGCAGACCTTGCTCAGTGTGGGAGCTCTACAGGGTGAGGATTGTGAAGATGTCCGATGCCCAGAAGGTATCTGACATCTGTTTATGAAGTGAAGAAATGGGGATAATCCTAGCTGTCTACTCTCAGAGGCTAAACACCTAAACAAGCAGTGAACACGGGCGCCATTACTGAACAAAGACATCTTGGCGCATCATCTTCCAACTGTGTATCTGGAGCCTTCGTGGGGCTGCAGCTCCTTCCAGCCGCAGTCCATGGGGTGCCCAGTGAAGCTCCCTGGTTACAAAGCTGTCTGTGTCTCAGGACATCCCGTGAATATTGAAGCATCAGGAATCACTACCAAACAGGAGAAACTGTAGCTTTCAGGTCCCACCTCCTCACAGTGCCACAATACCTCTAAAATAGCACTCTTAAAAGAGGACCCCATAAAAAGCTCAGAAACTGAAACTTGAACTGCTTTAACAGGTGCATCCTGAGTTATTATTGGGCTTAAAACTCTACTTTTAGGCAGAGACCAAAAGTAAATACATCCGGTTGTTCTAACTTTCAGAACGTTCTGGAAGGTGCCTCTAAAGAGAGAAATTATGTTCTTTTTTTAAATTAACTTTTGTGATTGCTCAAATATGAGATATGGAGAGGAGGTTAAAGAGAATATTATTGTCATCACCAGAAAAAATAATCTAAAGAACAAAGCAATTTCCCAGTGTGGAATCACTCAGAGGGATAGTGCCATTTTCAGTGTTTTCAAATGGTGTAAGGAACTTAATATTTACTCATTACCCACATAAGCTCTTGAACAACACAGCCTCATGCATAGTTAATAAGCACAGACAAACACATTATAACATAATAGATTCAGGACTCTAATGGAAGAGAGAAGCTTTTGAAATCTATATGAGATCATTGTGGGCAGCGGGGAGGGGATAGAGTTTCTGTTGAATGAATTGTGGCCACCGAGGTCTGTGCAGTCTTGCAAAATCCACAGAGCGGGCTCCCACTCCTCACTGGTTCATTGAGTCATAACTGATGCTGCTCTTCTCACACACCATCTCTTTTGACTGCTGGATGCTTCCATGGGGCTTCTCTGTGCCTCTCCCACTGAACCACTGCACACAGGGCCAGCAGACGGAGGCACAAGCTCACCAACCTTCCCCTGCTAGCCATCAATGACAGCCAACTCCATGGATCTGAAGAAATATCCTAGTTTGGCATAGAGATCCATTTCTCTCATGGGGCTTAGGAGACAGCTTTAACGGGCTGCCTGAATCCCAGAAGAGCTGTTCCAAACTTGGAATCCAGCAACATGGTCTGACTAACACAGCAATCCTCCATTCTGGCTGCCCTGGAATCACTTAGGTCTCGTAAGCAATATGGATGCCCTGGCCCAACTCCCAAGGCTTTGAAGCACTGAGATTCAGTGGTGCTGGCCCTGATGCTCTTGGAAACGCTTATGGTTGAACTGGGGAGCACTTGGGAAATAAGCATTTTCTTAAGAGACAGGTTCTGATTCAAACATGTTTGGTAAATACTAAGTTTATACTCCCCTAAACATATAAAATGCATTTATTTATTTTTTACATAATTTTTATTTAAATTAGAAACAAGCTTGCTTCACATGTCAATTCCAGCTCCCTCTCCCTCCCCTTAAAATTTATTTTTTATTCTATTTTTCCTCTCTGTCTCTTTCTCTGTCTCTGTCTCTGTCTCTGTCTCTGCTCTCTCTCTCTCTCTCTCTCTCTCTGTGTGTGTGTGTGTGTGTGTGTGTGTGTGTGTGAGTGTGTGTGTGTAGGCACATGAGCCAGGGTGTGCATTTGGTGGTCATAGGACAGTTTTGGGGATTTGATTCTCTTCTTCTGTCATGGTTCTGAATATCAAACTCAGGTTGTCAGGCTTGTGCAAGAGCTTTTACTGACTGAGCCATTTCACTAGCCATGAGGTCAAGTCTTGCCTACCATGTGTATTGACCTAGACTTAAGCCCAGCCCTGGAAGAAAGAATGAAAGAGGGAGAAGGAAATAACAGAGGGAGAGAAACATTTTATCGGTGGTAAATGAAAATGGCAAATAGCAAAGCAGGTATTAATGGTTTGGACTTCTAAGGGAAGGTGGAGAATAGAACATAAGAACATCTGGAGGAAGAACACTTTAGCTCAGACAACAGCATC